TATTTCCTTCTCAGTTAAATATCCAAGTTAAAATAGCTCTTCCTCCGTAAATCACACGATATGACACACATGTCCTATTCTCCTCCACAAGTTTGAGCTTGCTTTCTGAGGTTTCTGACTCTTAAATTATGAGTCAGTAAGATTATTTTCAGCTGTATGGACACTTTTATTGTTGTTTTTTCAATTTCCCTAATATCAGTCTGTATTAATAACAACAGGAAAGGTGCCTTGAGCATCTACCCAGGTAAGTTGTCTCTGTGCATCAAAATTTCTCCCCAGAAATCTATTCAATTTACTCCAGTTAAATACCCTGGCCTGCACCTCCACTGGCAAGTGTGCTGACCAGAGCAGGCCAGTGCTCCCACTGAGAAACGGTAGGAAAGATAGAGACCGTAAATCCTCTGCTTGAGGGATCCAGAGAATGGTCAGGACCCGGTGGAGAAGCCACCACTCCGGCCCCTGCACCGGGGAAGCAGCCTTCAGAGGTGGGCTGGAGACCAACCGGCGTCTCTGCCTCCGGCGGTGTCTCTGGAGGTGACTCCAGGGGTGTTCGCTGACTCCAGGGGACAGAAGACCAGCACAGCTGCTGGCAGCCACATGGAGCTAGCTGACAAAGCCCTTACCAAACACATGACTTGCAAGCATCTTCCCCCATTGCGGAGGTTGCCTTCACATTTTGGCGACTGCTTCTCTGGCTGTGAGTAAGCTCTGAGTTTGATGTGGTCTCCCTTGTTTATTTTTGCTTTCCCTCCTTGGGCGTTTGGTGTCACATCCGGACACGCGTGGCTGACTCGCGTCAGGGAGTTTCAGCCTCCAGGCCTCTCCTAGGGCCCTTTCCATCTCAGCCCTTCCGTTTGAGTCTTTAGCCAATTTTGGGCTAACCTTTGTGAGTGGCGTTAAGACGGGGGTCTGCTTTAATTCTTTTTGTGTGATTACCCAGTTTTCCCAAACCATTTATTTTGTTTGTTTGGGGAGAGGTGATTAGACTTTTTTTTTCTTAAGTGGAGGGACTGGGGATTGAACCCAGGAACTTGTTCATGCTGAGCACGGGCTCTGCCCCTGAGCTGTGCCCTCCTCTTCCAACACCATTTATTGAGGAAAGTGTCCTTTCCCCACTGAGTATTCCTGGCTCGCTTGTCAAACGTTAGTCAACTGCACATGTAAGGGTCTATTTCTGAGGCGTTGATTCTGTTCCCTATCTGTCTACAGATCTAACAGAAAGATAAATTAGTCTTCCTCCTAGCATGGTTGATCAAAACGCGTTTCTTGTTTCTCACAGTTTAGAAAAAATTTACTTCAGCTTCACAGCTTGTTAATGGTAACGTAAAGGAAAGTCTTAGGATTGCTGTCAAGTGTAGGAGAAACTCCACTAAGTGTATTTCATTTTTAAAACATTCTTTTCCAGGTATTTCTTTGTTAGTGTATAGAAACACAACTGACTTTGTACGTGGATTCTGTATCCTGATTGTGTGACTTTTCTGATTCATCGATTAGTTTTAACTGGTTTTTGGTGGAATCTTTAGGATAGTATATACATCATATCATCTGTAAGCAGAAAAATACTTAGTTCTTCCTTTCCAGTTTGGGTATCTTTTATTTATTTTCTCTCCTGATTGCTCCAGGGAGGACCTCTAGTATTGCGCTGGAGGAGCGTGCTGAGCGCTGGACCCTTGTCCTATTCCTGATCTCAGAGAGAAAGCCTTTAGTGAGTATGGTAACTTTGAATATGATTTCAGCCATGAGCTAAAATATATGGCCTTTATTATTTTGTAAAAAATTATTTACAGTAGCATCAAGAAAACAATGATGTTTTGAAACTAAAAAAATAAAAATAAATTTTTTGGGGGGGCTTATGACCATCGTATCTCAATAAAATGAAAAGTCAGACTGCCAACACTGACCACCTGACCCAGGCCCCTTCCCCCCACCCCCCCTGCTGCCACCTACCTGCCAGCCAGATCTCTCGTCTCTCAGGACGCCCCCAGGGGCAGATGTGTGGGGGGGTGTGCACGTGTGTGGTGTGCGCGCATGTGTGCGTGTGTAAATGTGCACGTGTGCATGTGGTGTGTGCACATATTGTGGTGTATGTGCACAGGTGTGCTTGTGTGTGGTGTGTATGTGTATGGTGTGTGAGTGCATGCACACGTGTGGTGTGCATGTGTGAGCGTTCAAAGAGGACAAGCACAGTGTCTACATAGGTCTGTTTCATCTATTTTGAGAGGTTATTTTGAAGAAGATTTAATCGAGATTATTTCATCATTGCATCATACGTATTTTTGCACAAAAAGTGTGGTGACTGAAAAAGTTTACCTGTTGTTTAATGCTTGGATTGCTTATTGAAATCACATACATCCTATCACCCGTGGCTGAGATCACTAAAATGTCTGGCCGTCGTCCTGTCGTTTTCCCCACCTGCTTGTCCTGAATTTTGGCAGAGCTCTGCTCCCACACCAAGAACGCTGTGCTGTTACAGGCCAGGCGTGCATTCGAGTCGGTGTGAAAGGAAGACGCCACTGCTCTAGCGAGGAGGACTGTCATCTGCACTTCCTTGTGAGGCCAGGTGCCTCTCCGTCAACTGAGTGGCCTGTAACTTTGACGAATCTCTTTTTTAATACATGATAGTTACCAAGAGTCCTCTAGCACTGTCTATGGAAAGGTTCATCCATTTGAAAATTGTCACCAGGCTCTTAAAGCATCTTGAGAGGAGAAAATGATTCTAACATTACCATACCCTGTGTCAGTCAGAAAGGTGCTGGGGGTGATTCTGACTATCAGCACCTCAACAAGTTAATTTTCCTAAAGCAGAAACTAGCTCTGCCTTTCATTCAACTTCGCACCTGACAACCTCCCTGACCTCCAACTCTTCGCTTGCCCCCGGGATCTAGCCTCTTCCGAGGATCCTGGTGACAGTGCCAAGCATGCAGGGACGCGGGTCCAGCCGGCCTCTCTCTGCCCCTGGCCAGGAGTTGTGAGTCTCAGCTCCGGGCTGCACCCAGCCCAGGGAGGGCCACTCTGCCGGCTTCCCTTGGGCACGCAAATGACGGTGACATCAGAGAGAGGCAGGGCTGGAGCCTCTGAGAGCTTTCCGCTTGGGCTATCCCCAACGGGAGGAAGGAATCCCTGGTGCTGCTTTTATCTTGAGAAGCTCTCAGGCTGGAAAGCGCGTGCAGGAAGGCAGGTTTGGATTATAACATACAGAAAGACTTTTTTCTTCTTTCTTTCTTTTGGGGATTAGAAATTTACCTTTCCCAAAGAGTTGCAAAGGACTGGCTGACTTGTCCTAAATCAGCCTTGTCAAGGCCCAGAATGACATTCTCCCAGAATACCTATCCAGTGGATTTTATCAAATCATCAGCAAGAACATGTTGAGAGCTTTTCCAAGTCTCCTGACATGGCTCCCACTGTCGATGAGTTGAGAGTCTGGTAGAAGGATCAAGATTAAGGCTCATAAAACAATTAACAAGCAATGCGAGAAAGAGCAGAATAAATTGCTCGGTTGGAAGTCAGAGCTTAAAAGGCTCTAAGCAGCACAGAGGAGAACGGCTACAGAAACACCACATCCTGCCTGTAAACATTGCGGTTCCTCAGACCAGAGGAGCTGGTTGAAATCTGCTTTCTTAACCAGGAGACATGATGCTCGTTTCTTCTAAATTACATCAGAACAGTCAGGAGAAAAAGTACGATGATTTGTATATTGTCTAGGTTTTGCTAAGCGTGTGACTTCTGGCAGGAGTCACAAACATCAGTGTGTACTGGGGCTAGGAATGCAGTGTGTGTCACGACGGAAGCTGTTGCGGGACAGTCACCGTTGCAACCTCCGAGTCCCCTGTGCTTCCATGGAGGTATTGGGTTTGCAAACACAATGTCGGCACCCTGTGTCGTGTCCAAGGGAAATCAGAAAACCCAGATATTTTTACTGTAAAATCACCCGATTTGTAAACATTAGCAACACATAGAAGTTATTTTTTGAAATGTACTATGGGCCAAGTAAAATACAGCTACAGGCTGAAGGAAACCAGCGTTATTTAAAGCATGGCTTATTTATGTGTGGGGGCAGGGGAGAGGGAATGTAACTGGGAAGAACAAATCTGAGTCCATGTTGAATCTGTTTCTTTTACTTTAAACTTTGTATTCTGTTGCTTTTGCTGAAAGTTAGTCACTAAAGGGATGTTGCCAGTAGCTTGAAGTGTACATAATGTCCATCTCCAGAAACCCAGCCTCCTGGGCATTAAGCTGAAACACCCTGCTTTAAGCTCACAGGAGACATCCAGACCAGGCCCACCTGGGAACAGCTGCAGGAAAGATGAAATTAACAATCCCCTATAGAATCTGGCCGAACAATGAAATATTTGCAACAATTTATTGCCTTTTTATCTCCTCACCTCCCCATCTTTGTTCTACAAAAGAAGCTAGCATCCAAACCCGGCCAAGATGGTTCTTTGGGACACTGGTCCACCGTCTTCTCAGTCTGCTGGCTTTCTGAATAGAGTCACTATTCCTTGCCCCAACACCCCGTCTCTCGATTTACTGGCCTGTTGTGTGGCGAGCAGCACAAACTTGGACTCAGTGACTAGACGAGATAGGAGACACCCAGTTCCACCAGAGCATATCAGCTATGTGACAAAATGCATACCATATCCTAAGAGTCATGAGGGATTCCAAACAGAAGATGTGATCAAACCTGCATCTTCAGAAGTTCTTTCTGGTTGGAGATAGTGTGAAGCATGGATTAAAGTGGGCAAAATTGTTGTCAGCGGATCGGTTAGGAACCTGCTGCAGCATTTAAGATATGTATGTATGTATTACATATATACCTAAAGGTTATGAGTGACATGTCAGTCACATGCCTCCATCTGTGATTGTAAACAAATCTTTCTATCCTCTCTCCTCTCCTCTCTCTCTCTCTCTCTCTCTCTCTCTCTCTCTCAGCTTCTGCTGGCAAGACCATTGTAAGGTATGGGACCAAAACACCCTATGCCCCAACAAATTAGCATAAGAACTGAAAATTTTTGGTTTTCTTTTAATAGCCTTTTTCTCTGATAAATAGTGAATTTGTTATGGGAAATTTAGAACATTTAGAAAACCGTGGTGAAAATCACTACACCGCCGCCCATGCCTTTGGGAGCCTCTGAAAAGTCTGGGTGGGGGCAGGGGCGCGAGAAGGGCCCTAACTCCCCACTGCACCCGGCAGCTTGAAACCTTGTGCTGCAGTCGGTCAGACCTGATCTGGGAGGGTAAGCTCTTCACAGCCAGGTGCGCCATGGTGCCTGTGCACTACGGAAACAACGGTATTTCTCCCTTAGGGTTTGGTGCTTGGAAACCTGAAATTAGATTATTGAGGGATAGGGTTAGTTTAATTCTTTTGGCCAGACCGGTGGCCCTCCTTATCCCCAGTTTCTGCATCCGTGGATTAAACCAACTGCAGATCAAAAATATTTGAGAAAAAAGAAAAAAAATTCCAGAAAGTTCCAAAAAGCAAAACTTGACTTGGCCCCTTGCCAGCACCTCTCTGTGCAGCACCTGCATTGTATCAGGTGTTGTGAGTCATGAGGAGCTGACGCGACGTGCGCCAGTGTGCGGAGGTTGTATGCAAATACTGGGCCGCTTTATAGAAAGAACTTGAACCCCAGATTTTGATCTGGGGGAGGGAGGAATCCTGGAACCAACCCCCCGTGATAGTAAAGGGCCGCTCTATTCTCATTTTTCTAAGCCTCAGAAGCACTGGCCATCAGTGTGTGCTGCCAGTCGTGTTTTCCAGAAACACCAGCAAACGTCTCCTGTCCCCCATGACCCCCTCACCGCATGCCCCCAACACTGCTCCCCCACTGGAGGTGGTGGGACCTTGACTGGCGAAAGTGACGAAATGCAAGCTCCAAGGCCAGGTCGTGAAACACAATTTCCATCTCACTCCTCTTGACACGCTTGCTTTTGGAACTTAGGTGCCCAGTTGTGAGGAAACCGGTCACACGGAGAGGCCATCTCTGGATACTCGGTGACACCCAGTCTGAGGCCGACCACCCAACTGTGAAGGCTGAGTCTCCCCACTGAGCTCCCAGACCCCACGGGTCAGAAACGCTTTAAGCCCATTGTTGCTTTCTCTGAATTCTTGACCTTCAGAATCCATGAGCTTAATAAAACAATGGCTCCTTTGTGCCTCTAAATTTGGGGCAGATTTTTATAAGCAATAGCCAACTAGAGCATTGTGTGTGTGCGAAAATTCTTCAACAATTTGAAAGACACAACATAGTATGTCATTATTGTTTAAATTGCATTTTCTTAATTGCCTGTTAGGCTAGCTTCCTTCCTTCCTTCCTTCCCTTCTTCCTTCTTCTTTCCTTTCTTTCTTCCTTCCTTCCTTCTTCTTCCTTTCTCTTTCTTTCCTTTCTCTCTGTTTCGGCCCTCCCTCCCTCTCTCCCTCCTTCTCTTTTTTTTTCTCACTCATTCTTGCCACTTGTGTTACTTTCAAGAATTACTTTGTCACCAAGGACTGAACTCTTGGAAAGGATCACGTTTTAACATCCTCACTGATGCCACACGTGCACTTCTACTACTAATACTGTCAGTGGACACACAGGCAACAAGAGGATACATACACGCAGCTCCAGTAAACACTCTCACTTTGTTCCACCATCCACGATGCCAGGACATGTTCACGTGACTCTGTCCTTTCTGAGTTTACCCAGAGGAGCCACAGCACGGAGCATATTCTGTGCAACCGGTCAGGACCCCTCAAGCAGGACTGGAGGCAGGGCTCAGACAATGCTGTGTAATCGCCGTTTGTAATGGGATTACCTCAGTATTTCAGATGTTGGAATCTTCCCTTTGTAGCTGATCTCCATCTTCAGATGGATGCTGGGCTCCCTCGGTTTTCCTGTTAGATAAGTTGGAGACAAATGACAGGATGAGAGAGAGACAGGGACTGAGTCTCATTTGTTTTTGAATTGGAGGAGTAACACTGAAATTTTGTGTAAACTCTGACGTGTCTTTGCCGTAGCAGCAGGAATCCACAGGCAGCTTCAAAGGTGGACGGCTCCTGGGAGGGGGTAGGTGAAGCAAAGGCGTCAAGCTCACAGCACGACACCCCTCAGCAACCCAGGCAAGACTTGGTGTTTGCCGCACTGACACTGAGGGCAAGCCGGGCGCGTTCTCATGCAAACGCCCTTCAGGTGTGGCTTCTTGCTGTTATGTGAGTGTTTTAAGTAGGCTGTGCCAGAGGATCTCGGAGTGCATGGGGCCAGGGTCCTGTCCCTGATCCCCAGGGTCCTGTCCCTGATCCCCAGGTAAGAAATCCTGATTGCCCCTCCTCTTCTGGGGAACATAAGCTCCAGGGCAGAGGACGCCACGTGTGACTGCGCACGGAGGGGTCGCCAGCGCATGGGACAGCGCACATGGGTACATGGCGGTCCTTCCAGCAGACTTGCCTTTAACCCCGCCAACCTGGTATCACCACAGATTTGGGGGGCTCTTTCAGAAAACACAGAATTAAGACTACAAAAGTGGGTGTGAAAGTCAATACTCAAAATATAAAAAAAAATCACAAGTTGCAAATTTACAGCTTATAAAGTTTTTTTTCTAATTAAACACTTTCATAATCCTTTTCCATAACACTTTTCCCTCCATGTTTTTTGCTGGATACCCTTTGATTGGTGATTTCTATTATTTCCATGGCATTTTCTATGAGAGGCAGAGATGTATCTGTAGATATAGCTATGTATCTTTGGATATTTGTGTATCTATCAACCTGTCTACAGATAAACAGGAAGATAAATTAGTCTTCCTCCTAGCATGGTTGATCGAAAAATGTTTCTTGTTTCTCACGGTTTAGAAAAAATTTATTTTAGCTTCACAGCTTGTTAATGGTCACATAAAGGTAATTTTTAGGATTGCTGTCAAGTTTAGGAAAAATTCTACTAAGTGTATTTAATTTATGAGCTGCAAGGTTTGGAAGACAAGCTTCTTTCAGTGGACCTTTCAAACCTGTTCCTCGTGCGTGTGACCTACCTCAGGGCCGTGCACACTGGGCACTCGTAGGCAGGTCCTCTTGTGTGCCGCCGTAAACCCTTTGTGCTACAGTGATAAGTGAACTGGCAGAGAGGACAGTAAAGTTATTTCTACACCAGGAGAGCTAGTAGTAATGTAACTATACCCGACAGTAACTGTGAGCCATGTGAATATGCCATGAAACCCCTAGTTAAACGTATCTCCGATTCGACTTCTCCTTCGATGGATTGCTGAAATGTCGAGGGTCACTTCAACGCAGACTGACATGAGGACAAGTGTGATGGAGGGGGTGGTAAAGAGGAAAGATGCAACTTTACCAACAGCATTTAAAGCACACTTTGGGGGAGGAAAAATCACAAACCTCTTCTCTCCGTTGGATTGCCTGTGTTATGATTCTGACTTCGCCACTTACTAGGTGTGTAACCCAAGGCAAGTAAGTTCTCTCTCTGTGCCTTGGTTTGGTGTCACTTCCCACCTCAAAGATTGTGATAATTACGTGATTTAATGGATGCAAAGTGCTTAAAACAGTGCCTGGCATAGAGAAGCAGTCACAAAATGTTGTGTTTTCATTGTACTAAACACCGTATCTGACTGCCAGTGATGTCAAAGTAGCCAATGGACTTTTCTTCTATAAAATGTTTTACATGTAACTATAAATGCAAAGATAAACTAACAACTCAAAGGCCAAGTCTCAGAAAAAATAAAAGGCTCCTGGATGGAGTTACTGGACTGTACGCCTTGACTTAAAACACTTTGTTCTCGGTTCACAAATCACGTAAGAAACATGTTTGAAACATTAGGGCAAGAAGTTGGAAAGGGAGGTAAGACGAACCACTGAAGCAGCCTGTTCTGGTGTGATTACCTGGGTAAAGTTTTCCACTTTACCCACCCTTTGCTGTTGACACTGACAACTCAGCAAGGAAAAGGGTAAGAGGGGTAGTTAATGATGCATCTTTAGGATAAAACTTACTCTAAATGTATCCAACATAGAGAACTGAAACAAAAATGTTGATGAGATTTTGCCAGGAGTGAGCAATGTTTAATTGGCTCCCATGTTCGTGAGCAATGTTTAATTTCTCCCCCAAAAGATCGTTATTATAGGCACATAGAAAATAATGGCTTTCAAATAGGAGATGGAAAAAAATCAAGAAACCAGGAAAAGCTCTTCCAACTTCTACTCAAGGAATGAGCCCTAATTGTCCAATTTAGACAACCCTAGCCTGAAGACCATCTCCCTAGAGCTCCTTCCTTCCTTCCTTGGGGAGCTGCTCATCTTGTCAGGGGAACAGTCAAGGAGTCCTCTCCGCAGGTAAACACGAGGTGCGCCAGCACTGTCCCCAGGGCAGCTGGACAGCAAGAAGCCACGGAGGAGAATGAGAGCGACTAGAAGTGCAAGTGAACCCCAGAAGTCTCAGTGACAGGTTGGTCTGAGACGGACGTGCTTAGCTCCGCTAGGACCACCTCAGTCTTCCTGTGGCTGCCTCCTTCCCAGAGATGAGAGAAACACCATGGAGCCAAGAGGAGCCATGGAGGGAGGTGGCTTCAGTTCTAGGTCTCATTCCAGTTACTGAGCTGCCAGACCCCTCAAATGGCCCTGGGTCACTGCCAGGAGCGGGGCTGTCCTCACCTGCAACTCTCCACCAACACGGCAGTGCGAGGGGTTGGCCAAGCAGTGATTGTTTGTTTGGTGCGAGCAGGGGGAAAATGGAACTCCCAACTGGCAGTCAGGCTGTAGAAGGGAGGCAGAGAAAAAGAGAGAAGGGATGAGGTGTTAGCCACAGGCTTGGTCCAAATGTACTTGCAAATGTAGGATCACCCTGGTCCTCAAGGAGGAGAAAACGCCCGTCCTCCTCACAAGGCAGAGTGCTGGCAGACAGAGCAGAGACGGAGGGAGCGACATGCTCTCAAACAGCCTACATGCCCCCCTGGGGTGGCCTTACCAGATGAGTTTGTCAGATCTCCCCGCCATAGGGCAGAAAAAAATCACACACACACGCACACACACACACACACCCCCGCTCACTACACGTGGTTCAGAAATCAGAGCCTGCCGCAAAAACACGGAGGGGAGGGGAAGGAAAGACAAAGAGGGGAGACAGGTCATAAGAAGACATGTAGCACCCCGCAGTGACTCTCCGTACCACGCTATTTCACGTTCCCTAAAGATGACTCAATGTTCAGAACAGCACCTTCGTTACCAAAGACAAGTTCAGGTACCCACTGCACCCTGAAGCCAGACAAACCGAAACGTTGGAGTTTGGAGCAGAAAGGTTTATTGCAGGGCCGAGCAAGCAAGACAGGGTGGCTCGTGCCAAGAAAACCCCAGACTCCCCAAAGGGTTTCAGCAAAGCACATTTAAAGGCAGGTGGGGAGGCGTTGCAGGGCACGTGATCAGCTGCGCACAATTCTCTGGTTGATGTCGAGGGAACAGGGTGCCAACACTCTCAAGCCCTGGGCACCAGAAGGTCCAGGGGGCCACATGCTCTCCATCTTCAAGTAGGTAATTTCTTTTCTTTGGTGGTGGTTTTTTTAGCATCTGAAAAGCTCAGGAAATACACATGGGATTCTGTTATCTGGGCCCTTTGGAGAGGAGCTGCCACAGAGGACCTGGGGGAGGGGTCTGTCCCTGGACGGCCCCACAGGGTCCGGCTTGGTTACATCTTGAACCCCTCTTCAATCTCAAAGGGGGTCAGTTAGCTAGAGAGTGAAGGAAAAGAAGGTCAGCCAGGAGCGGTATTAACATTGTGAGGGTGGCAGTAACCGTGGGTACTGAAGTCCCCGGGATCAGAAATGCTCTGACCGGGGCCATCGGGATTTACTGGTTCAAAAACTAGAAACTGTTTTAAGATAAACCGAAACTGACATAATTCTTTCAATCTGAAAATGATGGACTTAATTCTTTAGTGATAACAAAAGACAAGGCGTTTCAGTAGACGGAGGGCAGTGGCGGCTGAGAAGCGGGGACCTGCTGGATGAGCCTACGAGCGATCAGAAAGCATTAGCATCAACATGCAGTGAGTTCAAGTTTGAAGAAAACTTCAGTTAAAACAAGGCCACACAGCATAAAATTATCTGACACAGGTTGGGCAATTTTGTGAACAGTTATGTACTTAAACACACCCAACCCAACACCAAAACCTCAGACCCTGTGGGCTGAGCAAGGCCGCTGCAGGCGGAGCGCACGTGTAGGTCCGACAAAGCCGCGCGCCGCCGGCGCTCCACCTGCTCAGTAGACGCCGCCCCATGACAGGGTGCGTGCTCTGTGAGCCCAGCTAGGCTGGAGGGCTTCGGAATAACCCACTGTTCATCTATTTCTAATGCTTTTCCATCCTCCAAGCTCTCAAAGAAGAGGCTTGGCCAGCCCTGGGCCAGGGTTAAGCAGCTCATTAGCGGACCCCTCCCCACTTACACAATGGCTTCACCAGAAAACAGATTTAAAGTGATTAATTCATCACCCAGAACTGATCTGCTCACCTTCCCCCGACCACAGTCAAGACAGCTGCTCTCACACACTCTCACACACACACACACACACACACACACACACACACACACACACTACTTCACCACCAGTTTGGTAAAGTTTTAAAATTTGATGACGCTAGGTCTTATGAGGAAATATCAACTCATGAGCTCTTGTCAGGAGTACAAGCTGGAAGCAAGATTCCCAAGTGTGCAAAGGTGTGTGCATCCAAGAGGTGTGCACGGCGTGTTTGAAATGCCAGTAAAACTTCGAGCAAACTACACATGCACCAGCCGAGAAACACTCCCAGAGTGACAGCGTGCCTGGGCCTGGGTGTGGTCAGGCGCAGAGGGTGTGCTGCGTGTTTTAACAAGGACAGTATCGCCCCAGTAACAAAAAATGCTGCAGTTACGATTATTAATCTTTCGTGTTAACACATTAATAACAGTGCAATGAGGAAGAGACCCTTTGATGTTACCCAGAGTCGCACGGCCAGGGACGGAACCAGGACTGAAACCATGTGTGATTAACCCAGGGCTTGTCTGTGACAGGGTCACTCCCCAAGCCACCAAGCCATCAGGGGGGAGGACCCCGGAGTGTCTCCAGGAGCCAGAATCCACGCCAGGTCCCCATCCACAGGCTGACATTGTATTTTGGTCAATTTCCAATGACTGCAGCATAATCCAGCAAATTATCCTGGAGCAAATTACTTCAATCCAATAATACAACGTGACTGAGAAACTTGCATCCGCCTTTCTGAACAGCCCTGTGGTTGTATTCTTGTCTCTTTGTGGGGACGTTTTCTCCCGTGACTGAGTGAGAAATGTGTCCTTTCTTCCAAGGAGTCACAGAGCCTGGCCGATGCCTGGCAAACCACCCGTACAAAGCAGATGTTTCATTGCTGAAGAAACTGATGAATGAGCATGGATGTCTGTCAAGGCAGTCAAAAAATAGAAAAAGCAAAGGTTGGAGTTAGGTATGTCAACAACGTGGAGGAACGGAGCATTTGCAGGGCAGCTCTATGTTGGTGGAGACCTTTCACACGTCGTGAAGAGGTGATGAGGAGGCTTTTGTGGGAAGGGACGAGCTGGCTGCTTGAGGTGACAAAGGAGACCCAGGGGAGCGTCTGGGTAGACATGCCTCCTTCGAGTAACTGAAAATGTAGAGTGAAAGCAACGCTTTCAGGATGGTATTTTCTTTCCACGTAACAAGAAAATATAAGCTCCTGTTGGTATAATGGATGGGGCTTACTGTCAGAATTCATCCCGTCTTTGCCTGGTCCATTATCCCTGCAGAATAGGAAACTGAACTGGCAGAATGTCTCCTCCGAGACAGAGAGAGAAAAATCTGAGTCCGTCAAATCAGTCCAAAGACACAGCGTCCACCGCAGCGGCTTGCAGGACAAGATGATACCCGCGGGGCCATGGCTGTGGGACCGGGGCAGAGGACACTCACAGCAGGGCAGCTACACGCAGCCAAGAGGAGTGCTGTGGGAATTTATCAGAGATTTCTCCAATTAGAGCTGGAGCCTTGCAGCTTAGCTCTGAATCCACACGCGGGAGCAGTATCAGTCCTAGCTAAACGAATGATTGAGCTGTCCCAAACACCCCTGATGTGCAGGGCTGAGGACGTGTTCAGGCTCTAATCCAAGGCAGCTGATGCTGAGTATGTGAACTGGGAGCCTGTCGTCACAGACACCAGCACACACCACTGGACCAGCCGCCCCGAGTCGCCAGGGTGTTCTGAGCGGTCACTGAACTCAGGGTGTCACCAGTTGTGTCCTGAACACAAAGGGATGCAAGACTCGACTAACACAGATGAGTGTTGCTTTTGTATTTTAGCCTCTCTGCTATGATTACACGAAACATACATCCATGTATAGCCCCAGATGGTTTTCTGCAGTCAAGTCAATCTCAGAGATTCTGAGTTATAGTCCTCTTCCCAGGGAGCTATTTTAGCCTGTTTGGAATTGACACTGAGATCTCAATCTCCACAGTGCAAGAGCATATGCATTCATCAATATGCGTGATCATGGAAAACCTAGAACCGTGTATGTGGGATCAGACACTGAAATAGTCAAACCCCAAGGGTCGGTCGTGTTATTGCCTCCATTTAAGAAGAAATAAGATAGTAAACTTTAAATAAATTAGAGATTTGCAGTGCCTCTCTTCAGGATGAGATAGCATTATCTTTCATCAAAAGTGCCTTTTCTAAGTGGATACTTTCTGAAGAGAAAATGAAGAATTCTGGTAAAGAAAGATTGAACTCAGGCTGTGGGGAAAATAGACTGATACATGTGACCACATAAAAACTCAAGGCAAGTGCATAGACAAAGTAAAACAAAGGACAAAGAAAAAAAAACTCCAAAAAACCACCTCACACTTCAAAACAAATACTGTAAGTAAATAAAAAAAGAACAACAAAAACTTTTGCAACTCATATGGTAAACGGCTAGTCTCTCTAAAAACCGAGAAGAGGAAGAATCCAATAGAAAAACAGGCAGCAATCAGAAGGAGTAAGTTTCCAGGGAAAGAATACATTTGTGAACACATAAAGCAGACGGTCATCTGTTTTAAAAGCTTCACACCAGCTAATGCTGCCATGAGACACCATTTCTCACCTATCAGTCACATGCGTTCAAATGCCTGATAACACAGAGTGTTGGTTTGGCTGAAGGACAGCAAATACTTCCGTTCCTGGTGATACTGCAAAATGCTAAAATCCTTATGAAAGGTAAAAAAGTCTTTCCAAATCACAATTGAATTTACTCCTTGAGCCAGCAGTCCTGCTCAGGGAATTTACCTTTGAATATACAACTGCGAATGTACAAGGTCACATTTGCACCAGGTTATCATGGCCGTGTTATTTGTAGTCACAACATATTGTAAAGGAATTGTCTTTCCATCGGAAATCACCGAGACTACAGAACTTCCACACAAAGGAAAAAGAAGTAAATAGTGTTGCATAAAGAGAAACCAAAAATGTACATGCGACACAGGAAAGGTCATTTCTTATTCGGGTGGGAGGCGTGATGAGATGGGCAGATAAGACTGGAAGGAGAGACGCCGAACCACATCTTCCCGCGTAGCTTTCTACACTGCGACCTGCAAGTATCACCCGCTCAAAAATAAAACTAACATCCAAAGCTCAGCATAATATACATCTTAAAGGAAACAAAAAGTACTTACATCCTGTAGGTTAATTCCATCATCAGTTAATTCCAACATCAGTTCTTCTGGAAATCAAGGTTCTCCCTTGCGTCTTTTTCCAGATGAGTCTGTTTGCCGCGTGTCACACGATCCACATACACAGAGAGAGTATTAACAGACTGGATCTTCTGTTTAAACCTGTAAATATTGTGAAGCCAAGAGATGGTGTGTGATTTTATGATTCTGCCTCTTCTCCTGAATGAACCACAGATGGCGTGTAGTCATTCCTTCTAGCTGGCTGACTACATGCGTGTATATCACTGGTGGGTCTGTGGCTGGTAAGGAAATGGTTTGCTTTTCTGTGTGATTCTTTGGGGCACTTTTAAGTTGCCTACACTAGGAGAGTGTTCATTTTATCATTGGGAAAAAATAACAGTTGCTGTCAAGATTTTATTTCACTGCCACAAACCCAGTTCAAAGGGAGACCCCTAATACAGGGCAAGTGCAATTAAGACGCATGGAAATGTTACTTGGACGGGGGTGCATTGGCAAGCCTGTGAACCTCAGCTCTCAGGCGGCGCAGGAGGTGACACACTTCCCTAACAAACTCCAGAGGCCAGCCCACCCCCACCAGCCCAGTTAAAGCACCAAACTGTTTCTAAAATCAGAGCCATTTCCCAGAAGCAAACGGTACATGGGGCCCACCCGTCTCGGCGGAATTCTGAGTCCACCACTGTGCTCTGTGCTAATGATGCAGGCTGTCCGCTTCCCTAACAAGCCAGGCTTGTTCATTGGAGAATGTAACAAATAATTTCAAGGTTATGTCACTCTTGGCAAGCGCAGGAACGCTGGTGGGAAAAGGAAGTTTTCAGAGCAAAGCGAAGACTGAAACCTTGTTTGGAACCATCAGCCTGCAAACCTGGAGGAGAACCATAGTGCTCAAATTCACAGGGTCCCCAGCACACGCAGACAGCGAATGCCAACTGGCTCTTGAGAGGATGTAAGTTAGAAGGAGTTAATTTGTTCACATTCAACCTCTGCAAGTAAGGAGAGAGCGTTGGAACAGAGTTTGAGGTTTCTTGCCTTTAAATGTTTGCTTGGTAAAGATTACACTGTCTTTTCTTCAAATCACAGCCAACTTTTGATTATTCAGATGGTTATTTGCAAGGACTTCAGTTCTGTATTTCTGGTTCCCTTTTGTAATTTTACTGTTTATGAATCACTCCTCCATTAGATTAGCAAAGAAAGGGAAATTGAGCTGGCCTGATTAGCTTGTTACAGGCCAATTTCATGTTCAAGGGGCTATTCCCTGGCTGTGGATAACTATATAGTGCTCTTAGGTCAAATTGTATTATTCAATCTATTGGGTAGGGATAAATTTGAGAGTTTGAGATTTGCAAATGTTACCCACTAAATATAAAAATAGATTTTAAAAAATTTATTCTGTAGAATACAGGGAACTAAATTCAGTATCTTGTAATAACCTTTCATGAAAAAGAAAATGAAAACAAAAAAATAAAAAATTAAATTAAAAATAAATAAATCCAATGAAGCACTTTCTTTTGGGGTAAGAGAAGCAGACCAGTGTTGAGCTCTGCCCTCAGTGATCTGGTTCTGCCCTCACTCTTATCTGCGGTTCACTTGGTGACCTTGGATGGGGCATGTGTCTCACTGTCCCTTTGTGTTTCATGGGGACATGAAACACTGCTGACTCTGTAAAAACACTTTCAGAACAGAATTAGGAAAGAAAATTAAAAATGCCTCTGACATACACAAGCTCCCCAAAGGAAGTTTAGAATGGATTTAAGGGCATGTGCAAGCAGATTTATTTCTTCCAAGGAACCCTAAACACTGGGCCTTGTGCGTATTTACCAGCCAATTAGCTGTGCGTGTAAATCTTGATGTGCTCCATCGCATAAAACATTCCATTTTCTGAAGTTCTGTCGGGGTATATTATCCTGACAGATAGAACACATTACAATCAACTCTAATTGTGCCCAAAATATGATTGTGTAGGCTTCAGATTACAACCAGGGCAAGGAAATAACATTTGGGGAGAACGTTTTTTCTCTTCATCGAATATTCGGTAACTTGACCCTTGTGGCCTTAATTACGATGATACCTGCCAATAGCACTAGGCCAGAACAATGTCCTAAGTCCACACCCTTAAAGGGACCACGGCCTCCATTGGCCAAGAAAAGCCAACAAACAGGCAGCCTTGAGGAGAGACCTTTTCATTTTAAAGTTAAGTTTTTGTGCGAAGGGCAGGGATATTAATTAGCTTTTTCTATTCTTGGCAGGAAACAGGTACAGGTGTGCAGACACTGAAGAGTTGCTGCCTTGCTTCCTGGCCTCCTTGACCTCAGTCTTCCTACCGCAACAAGGCACCCTGACCACACCAGTGAGGACAGGGTGCAGCCAGCGTGGCACGCAGGCCTGTGCCACCCTGTCCCCAGAGAAAGGAGACGAAGAGCGCCGAAAGGAAACCTGACAACCTGGGTTTTCGCCTACCCTTTCACACTGCAGGGCCACGGGTCTAGGAAGCACTTCGAGGTTGCTAAGCAATAAATCCAGGCCCTCCACAATACACATCTGCTAGTGCCTCTCACGTCCTGGCTGAGCATTTTAGTGAACATTTACCTGTGTCATCTGGTCAGACCTCTTAATGGAATACATCAGTGAAGCATTTGCTTACTGAATGAACTGGTTTAGTAATTGATGAATGGCTTTCATTGGTAATACATGAATTTTTAGAAATACTTTATAGCTTCTAGAGGAGGAGTTTGGAGGAAAAATGAAATCAAGTGTGGAGATCATTTTAAACAAGTTCTGTCTGTGTAACAGCAATCTTATTTTGATGGAAAGTATTAACATTTGAAACAATATGAAACCTCATAAAAACCAAAGGTAAGTAAGACTAAGGTAAAATGGGCCAGAAAGTTATGCAGAAAACCCTCTGAAAGATACACTGCACTTCTAATTCATAAAATATTTGATGTACTTCTATTATCTCATAGTTCACATTAAAATTCTGATAAACTGACACACAGCTCACGCTTGAAGTAAAACGTGCAACCTGAAGCTCTCTGAGTTTCCTCATCCCCAGGACACAGAGTAGAAACACTGAAATGTATTTTGCTTAGAATTAGGAAGCAATGTGGTAATATGACGATATGTGATAACATACCAGAAAGTTGTCTCAAAAAGAGTATTTCCAAATGTATCCCTTCCCAACCCCTTTCCCCCGATTACCATAAAATTGTTTACTATGTCTGCAAGTCTGTTTCTTTTGTAGGTGAGTTCATTAGATCTGCAAATGTTAACCACTATATGTAAAAATAAACAAACAAATTTCTTCTGTACAGCACAGGGAACTTCATTCAATATCTTGTAATAACCTTTAATGAAAAAGAACATGAAAATGAATATATCTATGTATATGCAGGAATGGGACGTAATGCTGTACACCAGACACTGACACATTGTAATTGATTATACTTCAATTTTTAAAAAAGTAAATACGTGCTTTAAGGGGAAAAAAAAAGTATCTCACATGTTCTCGCTCTTCTCATGAATTGCACGTAATGCAATCTCTATTAAGTGGGGATTTTTCATCAGAGTGGTTTCAGATTTTCTATTTCATTTTCCCTCTTTTCTGCTATTACTTAAGGATTGCACACTTAGGCTAGGCAAAAAGCAGACTTTAATCAGAGTGGGCATTTTTCCAAAGTACTCTTCAGTCTGGATCATGAAAATGAGGCAACATGCATGGCACAGACCCCGGGTGTTTTTAAAGTAGGTGACATAACACACACCCCACGAGCTAGGTTATGATGTGTTAACGGGGAAGAACACTGAGGCTTCAAAAAACCTAATGGCTGTTGGTGAATATGATTTAATCTTTAAGACCCAGGAGGAAGAAAGTCGAGCCCCTTGGAAACCGACTCTATAAGGGTGTATTTCTATGCTTACACACGTGTGGAGCTCCACACAGCTTACAGACATGCGTCTACATACACAAAGACAAAGCGACGGCCTTTCAGGGTGAAAACTTGGGAAAAGGGCACCAGGGAGGTTTCCTACCAGGGACGGAAACCACGTAAATGAAGTCCCTGGAAATGAACCCTGGCTCTACACACAAACCTGTTCAAACCTTAACTGACACAAACCTGTTCAAACCTTAACTGACTGGATCAAGTTATTTCACTCGGATGAATGCGACAAGGATGCTCATGAAAACAGCTCTACTGGAGGCCATGAGTGATGGTGCCAGAGGAGGTGAAACGAAAACTGACAAAACATTGTAACCTATTTGTCAATTTAAAAAATATTTGAAATAGAATAAAAAATAGCAACTTCTAAAATTAGTTTTAAAGATGCTGCGACAAGCTGGATATTCAGAGAACATGCCAGCCAGGCTTACAACTGAACAGATATTTGAAATCAGCCCTTTGTGAGAAATTGAAGCATCTGTCACTGCCGAAGTGTGGGTTTGCTGTCTGTGATGTACTTTCAGTACTGCCTCCCTCCCCGCGTCACACACTGAACCCGGGCGCAGACCCACATCACGATGTGGCTGCAGACACATCACCCACCTGGTTTGCCTGATTTTCTCACCCTGCAGTAAGAACATTTAAATAGATGATCTTAAGAGTTACAGACTTCAGGGTTTTTCAAATATAGAATTCATTTACTCTAAGCCAGACAGACTTGGCAAAATAAGGGCAAATACAAAAACAAGTGTTTTGATGACTCCATCAAAACCTGTACATTTGAGTGAGTGCCATCTTTATAAATACTGATGCTACTACTACTAAAATGGCCAGACTGAAGTCGTGCTAACCGCACGCCAGACGCGGTCCTCTGCCCTGTATGTGTTAATCCTCATACGTTATCAGTGCTTGTTAACAATATTAATGTGTGTGCATATTAATCCTCACAGAAGACCCATGAGGCAGTTACATGAACTGAGAGGCAAGCCCAGTCAGACAGTAGAGTATGTGCGTCACCACCACGACCTCCTGCCTCTCTCAGCCGCATCCTCCATCCTGCTGAGGTGGACTAAACCACGTCCTGGGACACCTGCTTCCCTCCTCTGCCCTCAGCTGTGCCAGAACCCCTTCCCCCAATTCTGTATGCGTGGACTCTAACCACCCGCGGGACCACATCTCAGCTCCGCTCCTGCCTGGAACACGCCTCAACGCAGCCGTAGCGCATCGTGCTTAAAGGGTTGGTGCTTTGTCTGGAGAACCGCACCCGGTTCTCTTTCACAGCTGCATCTTTAAAAGAATAAAAATAGTAATTACTCTTGGTTTTTGTTAGGGTTTCATCAAGCTTTGGTGGAGCGACTAGTGTAGGAACAGCCCTAGAACCTCTTTAGAATAAGCATTTCCATCCTCAGGTCCAGATATTTGTTAAAACCTAAGGCCTGTCCTTTGAGATTTCCGTACGTTATGATTATTTTTTTCAGTCAACGAACTTCCCCAAGGGTCTTCTCTCTGTAAAACACTGAAGGAGACGAGTGGACTGGTGGCACCTGTGTCCTTCCCACCCACTTCCCCCAGCTGCATGGTCTCCACACCGCTGCATCTGCCCGCCCCTGCCCTCCTGTGTATGTAAATGGACGGTAAGATCTCATTGTTTGGCTCATCAGGGGTTCACTCAGGTGCAGCAGTGCCCAGCAGAGCCGCCATTGATGTTTTATTTGAGACAACTCAGAATTTAGAAAGGAAAGAAAAAAAAATGAAGAAAGAAAAAAACCCCAAAGACCCTATTCTTCCATTGGTAAAGCAGGACCAGCAGTCAGATTCCCAGTAGCATGAATGGTGGGTCCATGTCCGAGTCTCCCCCACGTTCACTGGGGCTCAATGGGAAAATCTGACAGCCCCTTTCCTTAGAGCACACACAGCAGCAGGAATCTGTCTTTTCACGTTTTTCTGTATGTATCCTCCCCCAAATCCTGTATTTAAAGTGTCACGCTCATTAAATTTGATTAGAGCAAAGTTGAATGATTTTTAAAAACTCTCAGCTAATTGTTTCTTAATTAAGTTGGGTAATTTGTGATTCAAAAAGGATGTTAGATTTCTAGTCAGGTAGGACTCAGCTCACAGTTACTGATGGGGAATAAAAAGCAAGATACAGAATTGAGTTTCAGAAATCAATGCAAAATAATAAAAAATTAAAATGGAGAAGCAGGCTATCAATAGCACAGCTGTAACAAAGAGGAGGCTTGTTTTGTATTGATTAGCTCCTGGTAAATAATGCATCACTGCTTCCCGACAGTGCAGGCTGCAGCCGGTTGTTTGCTGTGGGGGTAGTGGGGCAGGCCGGAGCAATCAATACTGGAGCTGTAAACACCCTTGAAAACGCAGTTCCACAGCCCACATGGGAGCAGTCTGGGGGCCACGAAGCTGGAGTGGCCTGGAACAGGGCACGCAGCCCCCCAGAAAGAACCAAGATTCGGTTTAAGATGTAACTAACTCAGGACATTCTATCTGAACGCTCTCGTGCCTTCATCCACTACAGTTCATCTCCAATTCCACAACTTAAAGGTGGTTTGCAGAATTCACCAGCCCTTTGGAAGACACTGATCAGACCCGCTTCCCCACTACACAGTGTTAACTAGGTTGGCAATCGTAGCCTCAAAAGATCAGCCTGCAGCAGACTCGCAGATTCTCCTCAGATTATCTTATAATTTAAAAGCCAGTGTATGTTGGAATTTACAGACTAGGCACGTCATTGTCTTCAGGGTTCCCAATCCCAGCAATGCTGAAAACTTAGCAGCAGTGACCACTCATCTCCTGTGAGAATGACCACCCCCCAAACAGCACCCCGTGCACCCAGGTCTCCCAGGAGGGCGCGCCAGGGACTGGGACGTGTCCTGTGGGGTCCTGACGGCCCAAAAGGAGTGCTGCTGCTTCTGCTGCTTCAAGGTTCTACGATTCTAGGCAAAGCCTTGACGTTTGTGGGGTCTTCGTCCACGAAACGAGGACACTAGCTTCTTCCCTTTCTGACGTAACAGGACTTCGGTGGGAAGCAAAGTGAGCTATTGCCCACTGTAAGCTATGAACCGAGTTCACATCCTTTTCTGAAAAAACAGACTAGAGAATCCTTCCAGGGAAGTAATGCTTTCCAGTGGTCATGGCTGAGGAAACCAAAGCTGAAAGTTAGATTCAGACCAGTATCTTCCCCTATCAATTAGAGAATGTATTTCATGTTTATTTCATCATATTGTATTGGAGAAAGAATTTCAAGTGGTTTCAACATCGAGAAGCCGTACAAAGTAACGTGATAAAAATGTGGTGAGCAAAAATCAGAGAAACAAAGAAGGGTAGGAAAAAGCCAAGCCGGGAAGATGCAGGAAGTGATGACTACAACGTGGCTGCAGTGGCTGGGTTTAGCCACGCACCTTGTCACAAACCCAGCTGTGCCCTTGTCTTCCCAGCTCCACCTGGTAAGACAGTATCTTAGCTTAAAACCAGTTTCAGTCGAAGAATTTATACCTGAAAATTGGGAAATACCACAAATCAGAGCTTCTTTTTCCCCAGTAATCTAGTTGTGAAACCCTTGCCCACACCCCGGACGGGCTGACCACCTGCCTGCACGCTCGAGAGAACCAAAGAAATGGGAGATTTTGTTTGTTCCACAGTTCAAAGTCAACAGGATGATGTTTATCTAATTTGTAAGCAGAATGTGTAACTTTCTTGTTACTAAGCATAGGTACTTCTAGCTTGGGGTTCTCACAAAGAAAAGTACTACATGAGGTCATGGGAAACTGTCACCAATGTCCTGGTCTCCCACCAAATTAAACAAAAACACTCATCTGTGAGTAGTGCGGCTCTAACATCGCACTGTGAAATTGCCCATCGTGCCACCAGCGATAAAGGGAGCCAGGCAATACTTGTTTTTCACGAAAGAGCACAAAAAGTGTTTATTTTTTTTACTTCACACTATTCAAGACAGTTAAAAAGTCTAAACACCCCGAGAAACTAATCTATACAGAGACCGAGTGCTCGCTACTCCTGCCTTTGGTAACTGTCAGGAAACGTTGCAGCGGTTTACAACTCGCTCGCGCTCGCTCTCTGCCTGTATGTATACATATATACACTGAAATACTGGACATGTTTGAAGTCCAATTTTTATCCTTACTAGATAGAGAAGCCAGTATTCAAAAATCTTCATTTTAACTGTGTGTTTGTGTTTCTTTAGATTTACCTGTCCCTGTAGGGCAATATTTTATGTCTTTCATTAAACCAGTGTTTGTAGAAGTGTAGAGAAGGGAAAAGAAATTCCATGATACTTGATAGATCGCTAACATATCCTATAAGCGGATTTATTTTAGCCAAATTTTTTCTGTTCTTCAGTTCTTTTCTGATTTTAGTATGAGCGTTATTTGCTCAGACAAGGGTGTCAGTGACACTGGAATTTCAGAAAAAGGCAAAAACACTTGTCAACACTTTTGCTTTCTTTCATTCTCTTTTATGCATTGCAAACGCACCCATCCCATCAGAACAAAGCCAGCACACCTACCTTCCTGCCACTCACTTGTAACACTCAATTTCCAACTTCATCCTTTACTCTGCTAACTGTTAAGCTACAACCCATTCACACTCCTGATGAAAGGAGCTGCTTAAAGTATTGGACAATCATCAACTCTGCCTCTTTTACATGACAAAGAGACCTTTCAGGGGTTTGGCAAGTACCTTACCAATTAAAGGGATACAATATATTTTTTTAAAGCATTACTAGTTGTGGAAAAACAAAAAGTACTCATTGTAAGAAATTTTTAATTAACAAAATGTACCCCCCAAAAGCTATAAAATAAAATTACATCACAAAGGGATAAGCACCACTAATACTTCAAAATTAGTCATATTAATACCTCTATACATATACTTAGAAACATGCCTTCAATCTTACAGGATTGTAATATGGTTGTTGCACTGTAAGGGTTTTAGCTGACAATTTTGTGTTTCTTTATGGTATTCGTTTTAAAAGTTGATTTTTGGCTATTATTGGTGATGGAATCCCACAGTTCACTGCTTCAAAAATATTCTTACACATTTTACTTAGGAATAAATTTAACACTCTGGTTAGGAGATTCCAAAGTCCTTTATCATTCATAACGTTGCTAGACCACCCCTCTGCGGTAGGAACAAGGCTGGGTCCAAGAGGAGCTCGCAGTGTTTGTTTCATGTCCCACAATAGAGACTTCTACAGAAGCTGGTGAGTCACACAGAAAGCTCGAGTGCCAACAAGTTCTGCCTCCAGGTACGTGCGAAGCACCCACCACTGCTGAGTTTACACTTGTATACAGGGTGGGTCTGAGCACCCAATGGTCCTGCCTTCGAAGAGCTGAGATGAATAGCGAGATAAATGCAAAATAAGAAAATTCAAAATCATAGAAAGGAGAACTGAACCAAGACTAATGGGTAGAACCGAGAGAATGTGATGGTTGGTTGAGTGAAGGAGGGTTTCTCAAATGAAGTTTGAAGTTTCCATCTGAAGAGACTCATCAAATGAACGGGTAATCCAGATAGAGAGAGGGCAGACCTGGTGGGAGAACAAGAGCTGAGCTTTGGACGACATCAGTTGAAGATACCTCTGGGATTTAAGATTTTGGGGGGGAATCACCTGTTAAGTATTTTTACAATTTAGAACAACAACAAGAAAAAAATGCCTATGAGATTTCCAGGATCAAATAGCCAGTATTTAAAAACACAATTGTAGATTTCAGGAGCATTCAGACCTGGAAACCAAGAGGTCCCTGTAGCTGCTCTTGCCCAGTATGCACTGCCTGCTGAATCCGTGGTCCTCACAGGACCTCCTTCTCACAAGCCACTCCAGCTGTTCATCCTTGGTCTCTGGCTTCCGTCTTCTCAGCGTATCCAACTGCATTTTTCACTTGAAGGGAAGTGGCTGTGGAAACTCTCTAGGGTCTTTGCACTGCTGTTGGGGCCCCTTATTTTCTGCAACAAATACTGAAATAAAACAGAGCTCTCCCTGAAAATCAGAATATTCTGTTCAAATAGTTTGTTGTCACATTTGTATCAACCCATCCATACGGAACCTTGTTTCATGTCTTTGTTTTCAAGATACCTTATTTCATGTATGTTGATTCATTAACCTTGAACTCATGGCCAAAAGAGTATAACCCAAGCCAGAATGAATAAAAATACACGTATTTTCTCTTTAGGACTCATCACAACCTTCCTGTTTTTAGGACCGTTGGATAAGGTTTCAGTACTACGCTTGAAGGCCTTTTTCAACAGTGAAATCACCATCAACCAAATAAATGCAAAAAAAAACAAAAACCCACTAAAAATAGAGCATGCGCTTACTGCATGAGGGCTGAAACAAGAGGGCAAAGTGTCCCCTTGCTGAGCCAGAGCTGGGAGAGCGTGGCTGGGCAACGTGCACACTGCACATGATGTGACAGCCCTGCTCACACTGATGCTGTGGCCGCAGGTGTCTCAGCAAGCGGGTGAACCAGCAGGGCAGACGTCGCTGGGCAGACGTCGTGAGTAATGGAGTCCATCAGTGGACGAGAAGGCTCTGGTCAGACACCAACCACCACATAGCACAGAGAAAAAGGAGCAGCTTTCAGGCTGAGTAGGACCTCAGTAGACATGAGGGATTCTCTGTAAGGTCAGAAGGAACATCCAGAAAGCAGTCTACCAAACAATTCTCAGTCAACACAGAGATGGAAATAATCTTTTTTTTTTCAGTCAGAGAAGAGACCTCATAAGACCCAAAATGTTAGGAAGAGAGCTCACAAGGGCGTGTCCGCTGCAGTGTGCACAGTTAGGCCAAGACTAGAGACAGCTGTGCATGTGCAGTAACCAAAAAGCATCCTTACAGGGTCCAACCAATCTGTAAGCAACTTCATGTCAGTACAATAGGATGAAAGCAAATTCGGTGCTCAACACATAAATTCACCATGTCTGGTAACCAGTAGGAACTTACCAGGCACACACAAAGCAGCAGAAATATACTTATAAGAGGAGGAAAATTAATAAGAACAGATGGGAAGGGTAGAGACAATGATCTAAAACAGCCATTTGAAGTATCAATACGCTTGATATAAAGGAAAGTATAAACATGAGGAAGGAAATGTAATAAAAGTAACTCCAATGGAAATTTCAGAGATGAAAAATTCAAAATCCAATAGAATGCATAGGGGGAATTGACAGTCAAATCACAGCTACTTCAAATGCTTCTCCCTCAGTAATGGCTACAACAGCAGACAAGCAGACCCCAAGCTCTGGCAGTACAGCCCAACTGCTGTGAAAGAAGTTGAACTAGTGGAAAATGCTCTGCAAAGAAAGCACCGGTCTCAGGTCGCTTCATCAGCAAGGAGTAAGAAATGTTTAAGAGGAAGTATACCAGGTCTGTAGACACTCTTTGAAAAAGCAGCACTGGGGGGAGTACCTCCCGATCTGTTTAATCAGGCAGCATTACTTCACTAGGAAAACCAATTCTAAACAAACAGAATAAAGAGAATAAAAATAAATACAAAAAGTTGTAGCAGAGTATTAACAAAACACAGCAATATAGAAAACATATAGCATGACTAACAGTGGGAGATTCTACCAGACAATGCAATATTTGATATTCAAAAATAAAAGTAGCATAAATATATCAATGGGACAAAGAAATAGCATACGATCATCTCATTAGGTGCACCTAAGCATTTGGGAAAATTCCAACACATGTTCATCAAAAATTCTTGGCAAGATATGGCAATATATGAATAGAAGTGAACTTCTTCAAACTGATAAAAGAGCCATAAAATCTGCAGTTAGCATCTTACTTAAGAGTGAGATACTGACTTCTTTGATCCCTAAGGCTGAGAACCAGGTGAGAGTCTACCCCAGCTCTGCAGTGAGAGCGCGAGCTCGGTCAGAGTGATAAGGCAATGGAAAAACACCAAAAGCAGGTGGATAGACAAAGAAGTGAAGCTTCTGTATTTGGAAACAACGTGCCGTGCCTATCTAGAAAAGCGTAAGTAACCTATAAACCAGCTCTTAAAATGAGTTTACCAAAGTCACAGCATACAAAAATCAACTAATTTCCATATACCATAAATGGAGTTCACACACATTATTTACAATTACAACAAAAATGAAATGCTTATGATCCAAAGATTCAACACAACCACAATCATAATAGCAATAGAACGTATGACAAGCTGATTTAAGTCTTTATGGAAATTCATTGAATCCAAAGTAGCCAGAAAAAAAATTGAGAAAGCAGATTTGGAGGACTTCCATACCTGCTTTCAAGACTGAACCATAAAGCCACAGTAATCAGGACAGTGTGTTACTAATGTAAGAACAAATCAATGCAGCAAGAGGGTCCAGAAATAGACCCACTCTGACATAGTTAACTGATTTCTGACACAAGCATTAAAGCACTTCAAAAGCAGTTTTTCAATAAATAATGCTGAAACAGGACAGGCCCATGATACAAAAAGAACCTCAATTACCTTACATCCTATATGAAAATTAACATGTGCTATGAACCTCAATGGAAGAGTGAGAGTTGTGTAAGGAAACAGGAAAACATCTTTGTGACCTTGGGTCAGGCAAAGATGTCCAAAAGGACACAAAAAGCCTGAACTATGTATTTGTAATTTGGACTCCAACAATGCTGGGATTTTGGCTGAGGCTGGGAGTCCAGGTGCGTTGGGGCCATCCTTCCAAATGCTCAGGCAGTCGCTCCCCTGAGGACTTGCATGTGAGGGTGGACCAGCACGGGAACAGGCCCCAGTCCTGGAGGACTCTGCAGACATCTTGAGCCACGTCACTTCTCCCTCCGGTCCTCAGCTCCCAGCCCTCTTTTCCACGCCGTGTCCTTTGTACACTCTTCAGGCTTTCCCACAGATAGATGGTCTCTGATAAGCCCTTTATGTCCTGTGACAGGCAAAGGCATACAAGGGCTTAAAAGATTGCTTGGAATGGAAGTCAAACTATACAGGCGAAAAGCACAAACAGCTTTTATTCTTAGTGCTGTGAGGATGAACAGAAAGTAAACACTAGTATCTGAATGTATTTTCCTTCTGTATTCTCATAGTTTCGTTTACAGTCTTCAATTAATGTATCACATCTATATTCTTGGCCTTGGGTCCCAGTAACATTTCTTTGAAATCTTCTGAACACAGAATTCCTGAACTAACCTTTTTCCCCTAGGAAGTATATATTTTAGTTGAATAAACTACTTTGATTTTGTAACACTGAAAAACCAAGTATGCAGAGATTAGTAGGTTCTTGAAAAATTGTAAGTATTTTAAGATGTATTTGGTTCACAGAGTAACTCGGTTTCCCTCCCACCCTTGGCATTTGCCTCATTCTTCACAAACCACTGCTCTTAAATTATATGCTGTCCACAAGGGACAGGATATAATGGACAGTTGGTCACAGCAGACAAAAACAGACTTGCCCAACAACATATTACATTCATGGCATTCTTCTCTTGTTTATGACAAGTTCTGGCTGCATTTGACTAGTTCGGAGTTTTCCCATATATTGGTTTTTTTAAAAAAATTAGAATGTTTTTAAGGTTAGCTACAGCAATTGTAATGTAATATAATTTGATTTTACATAGTACACTTAGAAACTGAATTATAGTAACTGCTCTAATTTGTGGGATACCAGAAAGTTACGTGCAACTTTCCAAATTAAACCGATAGACCAAATCCTGCCACAAGATCCTGGCCTCAGTAGACTGCCTCCTGCACGTGACTCTGTGGGACAGCACTTAGGAATCGTGTCAAATTCAAACACTGGAATACAACCAGAAGAAAACCTACTTTGTCTAGTTGACGGTGGTCTGCATCTCTGCTTTTAGATTTTTCTGGTGCTTGTAAAAAATGGCAACATGATATCCCAGGAACGTGGGTGAGCAGAACACTGGGAAAGCTAAGTGCTAGCTGGTCTGCCCACCAGAGAGCTGTCAACTTTGCACGTTTTTTTTGACCTCGTTTTCATGGTAGAAGTAAAGGCTTAGACTAGGTAATGCCAAAACACCCTCTCAGCACTTCAACGTGAAAAATTATATAAACCAGCCATTATTCTCAGCATTTTACATATTTCACTTGTGAACGCAGGCCTCAGAACCATCCCATGAAGCAGGATTTACATTACTATTTTGCAGATGAACAGAAGTGGTTCCATAAAACTGTTGGTTCAAAAGTCAAGCTGCCAAACATGTGACTGCTTTATTTGTATTTTGGACTTCCACCTTCCAACTCCGCTACTGCCCACCCCCACCATGGCTTACCCCACATTCCCCTCTTCCACGCAGCCGTCGGAGTTGCCCCTTGGATGGCTAAAGCTTGGATTGGTGAGCACTTGCACAAAGGCACTGAAATTCAGGAGAGAAATGAAGACTAGGTAGAGACGTGGCTTTTGTCAGTTTCCAAGAGGATTTCGATCCTTGGCTGGGAACAAACTCTACCATAAGGATCATTTCCATTAGAAAATCTACATTACTTTAAAATCGTTCACTGTAGACGGCACAGCGTACACAGAAGGGAATTTTGCTGAAAACGCATCTCTTACAAAGGCAGCCAGCGGCGTTGGAGACCCCAACTGAAGTCACACTTCCCAGGCCCCACAAACATGTGCAGGGAATTCAGTGGATCAGGTTTCTAAACTCCTGGATAAGAGGCCGGGATGGAACGTGAGGTAAACTTACTCTTTTTGTAATTATGCCAACTTTACGAACATTGTACATTTCACTGTACCAGCAAAAATGCTTTTAATTTTATAACATTCTTGTTCCTTTTCCTAAAATGTGGTGAGTAATTTTAAAAAACATACAAATTTGGGGTAGCACATGCCTAGCATGCACGAGGTACTGGATTCAACCCCCGAAACCTCCACTGAAATAAACCCAATTAACCTCCTCCGTAACCAAGTTTTTAAAATAGAGTAAGATTTTAAAATAAAAATAAAAGACAAAAAACATGAATTTAAGGTAATTCAGTGAGCATCTCGGCTCTTGAAAACACAGCTGATGCGGCGACAGCTTTTCCAGTGCGAGCATCGTCTTTGGTTCAAAGGGAAGAATCAGCTGGCTTTATCTTCCCATTTGAGAACACAAGCCGACTCCAACTTACTGTTGCGCTGGCCCAAAATTCATGGTTAAATATTGACTTTAATAAAACTCCAACACTATTGGAGTATTTTTGATATTGCATAAATCTCAGAACCATCACAATTTCAATGGGGAAAGAGACCTTTGAAACAATTGTCCTTTGCATACAAAGACACTGAAACCCAGAAAGAGTAACACTTTCTGGAAAAAAAGTTACCCAGTCACACATACTTCTCAGGAAGATCATCAATTATTAGTGCTAAATGTGAAATAGACAACGGCAAACATTTCAGTGTCATTACTGGTTGATCATCTCCCCGACGAGACTGTATTTAGAGCCCAACTTCACTCCCAGAGGTTTTTGGTTGTCCTTACCTTGCTCAGAAAGAGCCCCCCGAATTTCTGGGTGACTGGCTCTCGGGACGGCGCCGTTCCCAACGCGGCTCTACCTCCCGTCTCCAGAC